ATTATAGTATCTATTAAAGACGTCACGAAAAATTTGTCAAAATTACGTTAAATTTTGTGTATGTGTGTAAAATTTTAATATAAATTTGTATTTTTAAATAAACAAAAATATTTGAAAAATTTATTTTAAAGCTAATAAAATTGGTATTCTTGTTTTTGTGGTAGATAAAGTATTAAAGTACAGACATACATATAATTTTAGCTAAAATGTTCTAAAATTAATTTCGAAAATTGTTTCTATATTTTTTAAAAAATTTTGAAATCTCACGTCGCGACAACATTTGATTTCTTTGGCTGCCATTTGGTTTTGTTTTGTAGATGATTTTTTCGTATTGTTTGTTGCTGTGTATTTGTTTTTATTTTTTTAATTTTGCGAGACTTTTTGGCTTTTTAACTATAAACTAAGCATATATTTTAAATAGAAGAATTTTCAGAAACACCCTACATCATAGGGGTCAAAAGGGGCAGTGTCATAATATGTTAATCTTTAGAAACTGAACTAGAACTGAACTAGAACTGAACTAGAACTGAACTAGATCTGAACTAGAACTGAACTAGAACTGCACTAGAACTGAACTAGAACTGAACTAGAACTGAACTAGAACTGAACTAGAACTGAACTAAACTAGAACTGAACTAGAACTGAACTAGAACTGAGCTAGAACTGAACTAGAACTGAACTAGAACTGAACTAGAACTGAACTAGAACTGAACTAGAACTGAACTAGAACTGAACTAGAACTGACTAGAACTGAACTAGAACTGAACTAGAACTGAACTAGAACTGAACTAGAACTGAACTAGAACGGAACTAGAACTGAACTAGAAACTGAACTAGAACTGAACTAGAACGAACTAGAACTGAACTAGAATGAACTAGACTGAACAGAACTGAACTAGACTGAACTAGAACTGAATGAACTAGAACTGAACTAGAACTGAACTAGACTGAACTAGAACTGAACTAGAACTTAAACTAGAAACTGAACTAGAACTGACTAGAACTGAACTAGAACTGAACTAGACTGAACTAGAACTGAACTAGAACTGAACTAGAACTGAACAGAACTGAACTAGAACTGCACTAGAACTGAACTAGAACTGAAATAGAATGAACTAGAACTGAACTAGAACTGAACTAGAATGAACTAGAAAATGAACTAGAACTGAACTAGAACTGAACTAGAACTGAAACTAGAACTGAACTAGAAACTGAACTAGAACTGAACAGATACTGAACTAGAACTGACACTAGAACCTGAACTAGAACTGAACTAGATCTGAACTAGAACTGAACTAGAACTGAACTAGAACTGAACTAGAACTGAACTAGAACTGAACTAAAACTGAATTAGAACTGAATTAGAACTGAACTAGAACTGAGCTAGAACTGAACTAGAACTGAACTAGAACTGAACTAGAACTGAACTAGAACTGAACTAGAACTGAACTAGAACTGAACTAGAACTGAACTAGAACTGAACTAGACTGAACTAAAACTGAACTAAAACTGAACTAAAACTGAACTAGAACTGAACTAGAACTGAACTAGAACTAAACTAGAACTGAACTAGAACTGAACTAGAACTGAACTAGAACTGAACTAGAACTGAACTAGAACTGAACTAGAAACTGAACTAGAACTGAACTAGAACTGAACTAGAACTGAACTGAACTAGAACTGAACTAGAACTGAACTAGAACTGAACTAGAACTGAACTGAACTGAACTAGAACGAACTGAACTAGAACTGAACTAGAACTGAACTAGAACTGAACTAGAACTGAACTAGAACTGAACTAGAACTGAACTAAACTGAACAGAATGAACTAGAACTGAACTGAAACTGAACTAGAAACTGAACTAGAACTGAACTAGAACTGAACTAGAACTGAACTAGAACTGAACTAGAACTGAACTAGAACTGAACTAGAACTGAACTAGAACTGAACTAGAACTGAACTAGAACTGAACTAGAACTGAACTAGAACTGAACTAGAACTGAACTAGAACTGAACTAGAACTGAACTAGAACTGAACTAGAACTGAACTAGAACTGAACTAGAACTGAACTAGAACTGAACTAGAACTGAACTAGAACTGAACTAGAAAGAACTGAACTAGAACTCAACTAGAACTGAACTAGATCCGAATATGAACTATAAATTTGGATTTCAAATCAATATCCATATGAGATTAAACTACTTTAGTTGTGGGGATATAGTGTAATGTATAATTCCCCTAGAATCAGCAAAATTATATTCTTATTTCTAACAAATATATTTATAGCACATTTCTCCTTTTTTGCAGCAAACAAATATTTCTCTAAAATTTCTGTGAACCTGTTACTATTTGAAATGGAAATTTCTCCATAATACTTTCGAGATTTTTTTAAAAAACTATTCGCAAGAAAATTTACAACGACAACCGCAATTTTGTTGCTAATGTTTTCATCTTTTTATAAAATAAATTTTCTGGTTGAACTATTTTTCTTAGTTTTATGTTATTAGTGTGATGTTGAGAAATTTTTATTAGTTGCTATTTTTAATGTGAAAAAATTTTGCGTTGTTTTGATTTTTTATAAAAATTTCTTTTGTTAATATTTTAGACGTGTGTTATAATTATGATGTTTTAGTTAATTGTTATTGTTTTCTTTATAATATTTCGTTTTTTTTTTATATCTATTTTTATTATATAGATATAAATATATATAAAATATTCCGATTATATTTTAGAAACAAAAATTTGTTTATAAATTGATTTTCATAAATCATGAGGCAACCTAAATTTTTCTCATATGGTCAACAGAGACACGTGGTTGTCTGTCTAATGGCTGACTTTTTGACTCATACGATTTTAGGAGGAATATAAATAGATTAGTGTTTATATAGTCTATAGACTGGAGTATATAGTATATTCTACAGACTGGAATATAGTCTAGGCTATAGATTCGACTTGAGTGTAGTCTATAGTCAAGTCCATAGTCTAGGCTATTGTCTAGTTCAGTCCAAAGTCTAGTCTATAGTCTTGTCTAAAATCTGGTCGATAGTCGTAACTATAGTCTATTCTTTAGATCGAACTATATAGTCTTGATTATACTGCAGTTTATTTTATGAACTATAGCTACTCTAGTCTATAACTATAGACTAGAGTTTGGACTAAAGTCTAGTCTATGTTCTTGTCCATAGTTTTGACTACAGTACAGTCTAAAGTCTTTTTTTCTAGTGTACTAATTCAAAGTTCTGTTCTCGTTACTTTCTCTATTAATAAACTGACTGGATTGATTGAGGCTATTGTCTAGTTCAGTCCAAAGTCTAGTCTATAGTCTTGTCTAAAATCTGGTCGATAGTCGTAACTATAGTCTATTCTTTAGACCGAACTATATAGTCTTGATTATACTGCAGTTTATTTTATGAACAATAGCTACTCTAGTCTATAACTATAGACTAGAGTTTGGACTAAAGTCTAGTCTATGTTCTTGTCCATAGTTTTGACTACAGTACAGTCTAAAGTCTTTTTTTCTAGTGTACTAATTCAAAGTTCTGTTCTCGTTACTTTCTCTATTAGTAAACTGACTTGACAGACTTTTCATATAAAAAAAATTAAAATTTGAGAAAAATTACAAAATTTTCATATAAAGAATATTTTAGTAAAAAAAAACTTAAAAAGATATTCTTGAAAAATAAATAACTTAACATGGAAATCAATTACGACGATGTTCTTACTCAAGATTTCCCCTTTATGTTGGATCTCTGTCCCGTTCAAGCGTTTCCACCCAATTCTGAAGAACAAAATTTAGCTCAAAAATGGTTGGAGTATTTGTGCACCTATGAAGTTGAAGATTTGAATGATAGACGTCTCAGAAATGTTTATATCAGTCATTTATGTACCGCCTTAGTACAGCGTCAACTTTATGGGCCTTTCGTTAAGGAACCAGTTAAGGGAGGGAAATTGGAAAAAATAGATTTTCATGCTGTGGCTGTGTGTCCTAATACAAGCATGGCTTTGCAGCAGATGCAACCAAATGCTCATTCCACCATGCAGTTACCAGCCAGGGAAACCTCAAATTTGACCATGACTTTGAAACCCAGTAAACCTAGTGTTTGTAGTCCCGAGCAGTCTTCTTATACAGTGGTAAATGCCACCAAGACTATAAATTCTACAGGTAGCAAGGATCATAAGTTAATTCCTTTCTTTAACGGATTTCATGTTCAAAAATTCTTTATTTATTTAAGGAGTTGAATCCCAGGGTCAAATATCTGTAGGTTCCACCAATTTGTCGTTTAATTTAACTAGTGGTGGAGCTGGACCTAGTTCCCCTTGTAGCTGTCCTCCTAAACCTTGTCAATGCTCAGCTGATCCTTGTAATTGCAATCGTTCTACTGCTGGTGCTGATTCACCACATCCTCAAGATGAAGATATCATTTGCAATTATCTAATGCAACAGCTAAATTTTACCCCCGAATTTCTGAATAATTTTGATGCTACTCTAACCTCTTTTATGGATTTATGTAAAGTTACTTCGGTGGAGGGAAAAACCCAAAATCAATCACAATTATCTGTAACAACACACAAGCATTATTTTTTACCCAAAAACCCCTCATCGCTAAAAGAAACAAATACCGCCCAAACATCAAAACATGATATCGTGGAGACAAGATCTGTCACAACGCCTCCGGATTATGAAGAAATGCGTGAGGATATCAATGAGTTATTGGAGGCTATAAAGGCTGAATTATGTGGAGATTCTGAACCGGGCAGTAATGATTATTTAGATCGTGAATTGTCACGTTATAAAAGTTTTCTTATGGTTAATTCTTATTTGGCGGACCATTTGAAATCTTTAACTTCTGACATAAAATTGCGCAATTGTTTGTTATTGAGTTTACAAAATGATTTAGTTAAATTGTTAAATGAGGAAAAATAAATCTGAATAAAATCTAAAATTAAATAAAATTGCTTTATTAACTTAATCCGAAATCTTTATTGTTTATTTTCCAGGACGCTCTAATAAAACGGAACGCCAGACACAGGAATTTACCGATAATGCGAGTGTACAAAATCATATCACTTCACCACAACGTTCCTCCAAACGTGTATCAAGCATTTCCGTTAATATGCCAGCGGCCGGTTTAGGCTCTCGACCGCCCAGCATTATTTCCTCAACGAACAGCAATGACGAGGGTGGCTTTAATGAACCTTCACCCGAAATTAAGGCCAAACTAAGGCCTGCCTATGACTTTGAAAGTCCCAAACATCAAACGCGTCTGGTGCAACAGAGTCCCACCAAAATTCATAAATCGGCCAACGAACCACAGGCCGCAGACGAAGCCGATGAAGAGGCTGAAAAACCTAGTCTTAATTATGTAGATGTAGGCTATCGCCTTAATCCCGATGGCAGTGAGGCCCGTGAGGTGTTTGGCGAATCAGAGCTGTATGATACCGCCGCCAAAGTTTCCGATATGCATAAGAAATTCCATGCCAATGGTTTTGCCCAAGAGACTAGCACAGTTTATGCCATTATTAAGCCAGATTTATTACCCAATAATCCTACAGATATGTATTATGCGGCTAAGCCTCAGCAGGACAAAATAACTTCGCCCACTAAAACTAATTCGGGCTCAAATTCCCTAGTAGGTTCACCCACAAAAACTGCCAGTTCTCCTCCCGTGGGTGTGGTGTCGCCCATACGACGACGCAGCTCGGAAATAAGCATTAAATCCACACCACCCATGTCACCGGCCTCGGCTGCCAGCAATGCAAATTCATCTTCCAATTCACGTTCCATGTCTTCGATTGCCAAGGGTGTGGCACCCATAGCCTCACTCGATGCAAATGAAGATTTAGGTTCTTCTGACATACCAGCATTACCGGAAAGGCCGCCACCGGCGGCTGCTCTTATCAATAATGTTGATGTTTTAGATATGCAGGATTTGGAATATGCCGATACTAGTGCTGGCGAAGATGAAGATGATTTAATGCGTACCATTGAGGGTGATGTGGATTTAGTTGATTATGTTTATATAGATGATAAACTAATGCAGGCAACGGAACCAGTTGCAGCGCCCACTGAGGTTATTAGTCGAGAAGATAGCAGCCTACCCGATGCTATGACAGCCGATGAAGCTGAGCGATTGTTGAGCTCAAGGTAAGTGAGAATTTTGAATTTGATAAAGTAGTTTAGGTTAAGTGTTATCAGAAGAAAAAAAAATGCACAAATAAATTAAGACACTGAAGGTTTTAGATTTCTAGGTTAGGTTCAAACTTTTTTCTAACTAAATTATATTGAGTCTTAAAAAACTGTTTCAATGTTTTTCTAAAAAATTATAATTTTATTTTGAGTAAATTTATCAAACGTCCTGTTTTATAATATGACAAATGTTAATGTAAATGTTTATGTAAATTTCTGGAAATTACTTGGTTTTTATTAGTAATATATTGGTTTTGTTGTATTTGACTTTCTTGCCTAATGCTGTGGTTTCTATGATTAAGATCTTTACAAATTGAAACCAAAGTTAACATCATAAGTGAAAATTTCCATATAACTACTTATAATTAAGTTATCATCTGTAAGTAATCAAGCAAATGAAGGATATAAAGTAAAAGTAAATAATTGCTAAAATTGAAATTTAAGTAAATACGATATTTATTTTTCAATTTAATGCTATAAAAGTTGTTTTTTTTAGCTGACTAGAGCTTAAAATCATACTAGTTACCATCCTATCTACTAGTATAATGTCAAGTGGTGTAACGTTAAGTTTCATTAATTAATGATAATGTTGGTTGTTAGTTCTTTCTAGAGTATTGGGCCTAGTAGTTCGTAAATATCCTTACCTTAATTTTCGCTACTTATGCATTACATTAGTTACCTTTCTGTATACTGGTAGTGAGTAGTTTCATTGGCCTATGATATTTTTATACCTTTATCTTGGTGTATTTAAGGTCAATTTCTACAATAAAAGTATTTTTCGCTATGATCTTTTCATATCATTCTGGCAACAAGTCAATTTCGTATAACCTGTTCAAAAGTGAAGCGTAACCTACAGAGAGATCGTATGTCTACGTTGATCGAATGAAATAGTAGTCGGACGATCTTTTTTGTATCTTTCCGTCGACATGTGGTTCGCCACCAGAAGAACTTTTCAACATGATTGAGGACATGATTGAATCAAGTCAATTTCGGATACTCTAATGAAGTTGTTTTCTTAGCTGACTAGAGCTTCAAATCTAATACTAGTTACCATCCTATCTACTAGTATAATGCCAAGTGGTGTAACGTTAAGTTTCATTATATTCAATAATGTTGGTTGTTAGTTCTTTCTAGAGTATCGGCCCTAGTAGTTCGTAAATATCTTTACCTTAATTTCCGCTACTTGTGCATTACATTAGTTACCTTTCTGTATACTGGTAGTGAATAGTTTCGTTGGCCTATGATATTTTTATGCCTTTATCTTGGTGTAATTAAGGTCAATTTCTACAATAAAAGTATTTTTCGCTATGATCTTTTCATATCATTCTGGCAACAAGTCAATTTCGTATAACCTGTTCAAAAGTGAAGCGTGTCCTACAGAGAGATCTTATGTCTACGTTGAACGAATAAAATAGTAGTCCGACGATCTTTTTTGTATCTTTCTGTCGGCGTGTGGTTCGGCACCAGAAGAACTTTTAAACTTTTGAGGACATCATTGAATCAAGTCAATTTCGGATATTCTAATGATGTTTTTGTCTTAGCTGACTAGAGCTTAAAATCATACTAGTTACCATCCTATCTACTAGTATAATGTCAAGTGGTGTAACGATAAGTTTCATTTAAAAGTGATAATGTTGGTTGTTAGTTCTTTCTAGAGTATTGGCCCTAGTAGTTCGTAAATATCCTTACCTTAATTTTCGCTACTTATGCATTACATTAGTTACCTTTCTGTATACTGGTAGTGAGTAGTTTCATTGGCCTATGATATTTTTACCTTTATATTGGTGTAATTAAGGTCAATTTCTACAATAAAAGTATTTTTCGCTATGATCTTTTCATATCATTCTGGCAACAATTCAATTTCGTATAACCTGTTCAAAAGTGAAGCGTGTCCTACAGAGAGATCGTATGTCTACGTTGATCGAATGAAACAGTAGTCGGACAATCTTTTTTGTATTTTTCTGCCGACGTGTGGTTCCAGAAGAACCTTTCAACATGATTGAGGACATGATTGAATCAAGTCAATTTCGGATACTCTGTTCTGAAGTAAAGCATATCCCAAGGAGATCGTATGACTGCATTGATCAAAAGAAATAGTAGTCGGGCGATCTTTTCTCATATTTCTGGCAACATATTGTTTCGCGCTAGAAGAAATTTTCTTATTTTAAGGTCATGATCAAATCAAGTCAGTTACTGATACTCTAACCTGATCGGTAGTCTTCTAAGCCAATTTCAGATATCCTTTTCTGAAATAAAGCGTATACCAGAGAGAGCGTTATGCATCGATCGAAATGAATAGTCGTCGGAGGGGTAAGGCGGATGAAGAAAATCAGGAACAATTTCATTCGGTACAGGTTCCCTGTAATGATTGGGCTAGATTTCTAAATCTAATAACGTATAGGACCCCTTTGGTCTCACCAAATATAGAACATAACTTCAGATACTCTGCGTTCTACATCGATTGATGGCAACATATTGTTCCGAGCTAGAAAATGGTGAAACCAATGGAACACATTCACTTTTATTTAAATTAGGGAACTACAACAAAACTTCGATATAGTATATAGTTAGTCCCAGATACTTATGTATATATTTTTTTAAATAAATCATTTATCCCCCCTCTAGCATTTCCCTAAAAGAGCTGGCAACATTATAAACATTTCCAAAATCTGTACCAGAATCTTATTGTGGTCTATTGTCGTCTGTGAGTTGTCAGCATCAATACAAAAATAAAAAACTATAACTTCCTTGCGGCTTTTAGTATTATTAAATATGTCTGTCTATACTCTCTGTCAATGTTTATTTAACCTGTTGGCCCAATGCTGGAAAGAAACTCAATGTGTCTTTATTTAGATTTGTGTGGTCTTGTTGGCAAAATGTCTCTTTGTATGCAACCATTCAAAACATTTTCCTTTTCATATCAATGTGGTTATTTTTTAATAGAAAGTTTTTGTTGAAATTGAAATAAAAATAGTTTTTTTTTTCTATGTTGTTTTGGTAGATAAATAAAGGAAGTATGTAAAATGTATATATAAACATTTCTTAAAATAGTATATTATCATTTACATATATGTACATACATATTCAAGTCCATGGAAATGTCGGTTTTATAATCAAGCTTATGTAGAAGCTGATGCTGTGTTGGTATGTGTTTTGCCAGTAGAAAATATTTTTAGAAAATTCTTTATGATATTTTTGTATAATATTTAAAAATATTTTTATTTAATTTTAGATAAAAAACATTATTATTAATGTAATTGTTGTGAGTAGGAGTTGAAAACCATTACTAATTAAATGAAATAAATTTTTGAAAAATTTTATTTTTAAAGAAAATTTTTGGTAAAATTTCTTTTAAAGGTATATTTGGTAAATTTTCTTTTTAACATTTTTTTGGTAAATTTTCTTTTCAAAGGAAATTTTTGTTCAGTTTTCTTTTTAAAGGAATTTTTGTTAAATTTTCTTTTTAAATGAATTTTTTTGGAAAATTTGGAATATAAAAAATTTCGAAAATATATCTTTTTATAAATTTCTTTTTATAGGAAATTTTCCATTAATTTCCTTTTTATAGGAAATTTTCCATAAATTTCCTTTTTATAGAAAATTTTCCATAAATTTCCCTTTTATAGTAAATTTTCCATAAATTTCCTTTTTATAGGAAATAATCAATAAATTTATCTTTATAGGAAATTTTCCATAAATATCATTTTTTTTTATAGGAAATTTTCCATAAATTTTATTTTTTAAGGATTTTTCCATAAATTTCCTTGTTATAAGGAATTTTCCATAAATTTCCTTTTATAGTAAATTTTCCAATAAATTTCCTTTTTATAGTAAATTTTCCATACATTTCCTGTATATAGTAAATTTTCCATAAATTTTCTTTTTATAAGAAATTTTCCATAAATTTCCTTTTTATAAGAAATTTTCCATAAATTTCCTTTTTTTAGGAAATTTTCCATAAACTTCCTTTTTTAGGAAATTTTCCATAAATTTCCTTTTTTTAGGAAATTTTCCATAAGTTTCCTTTTTTTAGGAAATTTTCCATAAATTTCCTTTTTATAGGAAATTTTTCATAAATTTCCTTTATATAGAAAATTTTCCATAAATTTCCTCTTTATAGGAAATTTTCCATAAATTACCTTTTTATAGTAAATTTTCCACAAATTTCCTTTTTATGGGGAATTTTCCATAAATTTACTTTTTATGGGGAATTTTCTAATAAAAAGTAAATTTATGGGGAATTTTCTATAAATATCCTTTTTATTGAAATTTTCCATAAACTTCCTTTTTATAGGAAATATTCTATAAATTTTCTTTTTATAGTAAACTTAATAAATTTCCTTTTTATAGCAAACTTTCCATAAATTTCCTTTTTATAGCAAACTTTCCGTAAATTTCCTTTTTTTAGGGAATTTTCCATAAATTTAATTTTTTATGGAATTTTCCATAAATTTCCTTTTTATAGCAAACTTTCCGTAAATTTCCTTTTTATAGCAAACTTTCCGTAAATTTCCTTTTTATAGTAAATTTTACATAAATTTCCTTTTTTAGGGAATTTTCCTTCATTTTATTTTTTTAGGGAATTTTCCATAAATTTCCTTTTATAGAGAATTTTCCATAAATTTCCTTTTGATAGGAAATTTTCATTAATTTCCTCTTTATAGGAAATTTTCCGTAAAATTCCTTTTTATAGGAAATTTTACATAAATTTCCTTTTTACTGGAATTTTTTAATTACTTTTTAAAAAAACTAACAAAAAATTTTCTTTGCATTATTATGCTTCATTTCCTTTTGCCATTAACTACCAAATTAATGTAAGAAAGTAATTAAAACGCAAAATATAAATAATTTATTTACACCAATAAAGTTTGACAATTTTGAAATCATAAAAAATACTTGTACCAAACATAATTAAGTAGGAAAAATTTCGCTATAACTTTCATTATAGAGTTTTTTTTACTATTTATTGATATTTCCATAA